TTGAATCGGTGGGCGGGGCTAAACAGAGGGTGCTGTAGAATCGGTGGGCAGGGCTAAACGGACAGTGCTGTAGAATCAGTGGGCGGGGCTAAACAGATGGTGCTGTAGAATCGGTGGGCGGGGCTAAACGAGCAGTGCTGTAGAATCGGTGGGCGGGGCTAAACAGGCAACGATGTAGCAGCAGGGTTTGATCTCCTGTGGAGGCGGGGTTTAGCCACACTATTACGTCATAAAGTGGCACATTCCACAAGCTGTCGTTTTGCCAGATTGGCTCCAATATAAGCTGTTTTTAGACTAACGAGAAAGTTTTGCGTTCTGAAACTTACAGGATGTTTTTATTGTACAATGGCCTGTTATATGTCAAAATATGAAGGGGATTTTAATTTCTCAGTTCATGACCCCTTTAAAAGTTATAATTAATCACATGGTGGTTCAATTATATAATTGAATGAATCGTAAATTAATCACATCAGTTTTGGCTGAGAAATTACCCCTCAAAAGTTGTCTGTTGCGACATTACTGTCAGATCCAATATAGTCGCACAGCATCGTCTTTTAATGTCTTTCAGAAAGTCCAGCGTCGAATTGTGCCTTGTTTGTAAACGAATCCGTGGTGAAATGAAGTGAACAAAGGACTGAGTTCTTACTGACGCGGTCTGGATCTTCATTAAAAATAAAGCTAATCCACTCTTTCCTAATGATGGGATCAGAAGGAAGGCAATGCAAAGACTGTTTTTCCACAGCTTGGCACTGCACAGCGTCTTGTCTTCGAAGCATCTTTATTGTTTGATTTCTGTGTAGACCTGTGTTCATCTCTCTCGTTATTTACACTACAGACGTGAATCGGTGGGCAGGGCTAAACAAGCAGTGCTGTAGAATCGGTGGGCGGGGCTAAACAGGCAACGATGTAGCAGCAGGGTTTGATCTCCTGTGGAGGCGGGGTTTAGCCACACTATTACGTCATAAAGTGGCACATTCCACAAGCTGTCGTTTTGCCAGATTGGCTCCAATATAAGCTGTTTTTAGACTAACGAGAAAGTTTTGCGTTCTGAAACTTACAGGATGTTTTTATTGTACAATGGCCTGTTATATGTCAAAATATGAAGGGGATTTTAATTTCTCAGTTCATGACCCCTTTAAAAGTTATAATTAATCACATGGTGGTTCAATTATATAATTGAATGAATCGTAAATTAATCACATCAGTTTTGGCTGAGAAATTATCCCTCAAAAGATAATTTAAAGTCATGAGAGAAGCATTGAATAGACATTACGTAAAGTAGCTTTAGAAAGAAAGAAAAAGTAGCTTTTGATTCAACATTGCATAAATAATAATGCTTATTAATGGACTTTTTAAAATGCATATTGAAATATAAAATGATTTTTAAAAAATGAAATTATACTCTAAATGTGAAACTGCAAATATGAAAGCGCCAGTAGGTGGCGGCGAGTGTTAATGAGTGAGTCATTGCATGATTCATTCAAACAGCTGATTCATCCAGAAACGAAGCAAGTGACCACTGAATCATTAACTGAGTCGATTTGTTAAAAACCATGGATTCATTCAGTAGTGAATCACCGCTGTGTGTTGATCAGAGACTCACAACAGTTCTACTGTGATTGTAACTATTTTTGTTTGCGAAATTAATCGATATTATTGTGTCTAAAATGTAACACAGTATGAACTTCTTGTTTATTGAACTGTTGTATAAGATCAGTATCACATTAGCAGTGGTGCAGATATTGGGGATAAACAGCTGAACTATATCATATGATATAAATATAAGAGAGTGATTTTTTTTATTTTTTTTTGGCCTCATATTTAGAATTTTAGGCTCATAACTGTATTCTAATAGACTCCATCACACAATCAGTCACACTGCACAATACTTTTTCCATAATCACACCAAGTTAACGTGTTAAATCAACAGCCCTTTTTTAACTTTTTATAAGAGTTTCTCATTCTAAGTACTAGATGTTAATGGGCTAATTCCAGCTGTTCTGTGGTGGTTTTCCTCTGTAGGACGTGCAGCATCTCAGTCCTGCGACGGATTTCTATAAGAAGCTGGCTCTGGACTGTTCTGGTCATCATGTGGCGGTGGATCTGTTCCTGCTGAGCGCACAGTACTCGGATCTGTCCTCTCTGGGTCAGTCACTAACAAAAAGAAAGAAATAATAGTCCAAAAATCTTTTTTTTTAAGTGAAACTGTTTACTGAAACCTTAAAAAATGTTTGCATATGTGTTTTGTTGAGTATCGTATTTGCTCCATCAGGCTTTTATGGCTCATATAGTCTGATACAGTGAGAATATGGAGGAAAAACAGCTCAGTTTTATTCAGAGACTCAAACTGAACAAAAATAGGAATTTGCTGCAGATGCTGATATTTATATGATGAACTTCTGCTGCTTGTAATGTAAATCAATGAGATCTTCTTTATAACAGTACAGATACTGACATAAAATGATCTAAATATCAGTGGTCGCTCTATATCTCCAGTAATCTGTCTCAGTGAGATGAGATTGAAATGATCCAAACATATAATGCAGTGATTGAGAGCTGAAGAAATAAAGGCTCCTCAGAAGATGTGAGATGTTCTGGAGGCTTGTGAAGATCATTCCTCCGCTGAGGAACAGTGAAAGTAAAGCTTCTGGAAACAAACGCTCCTCAAAAGATCCTGAGGATCAGATTTGAGACTCTAAAACATGATTGATGGAGAATCAAGTAAAGCTGAGCTGCTTCAGTCCAGTAAGTGTTCATCTGGAGATATTACTGCAGTTATTCTGACGCTTACTTGATAAAAATCAGTCAAGATTTGACAGCAGAAAGACACGTGAAGCTCCAGCTACAGTTACACTAAAAGAGCTTTTACTGGATAAAACACTCTAAACTATCAATCAGAGACAGAAGACATGCAGTAGATCGAGTGAGAAACGGATTTAACAGCAAATATTGATCATTCAGAGCCTCAGAAATTCACATTTCTAATATAATACAGTTGCTTTATAGGGTTAAATCATGTCAGCAGATGGTGAGAATCACTGCGTGTCGTTTACTAATAATGTGATTCATACAAATTCACCAGAGTGAGTGAAACCGGCCGTCTCATTAACTGTATCAGTTACCAACAGACAGATTCACATCCCAGTCTGTCCAGTGACAGAAGAGGACTATTTACAGTGCGGTTCAGCTCTCTTCTGTAGGTGTATGCGTGTAATATGGTGAAAATGGTCAGAATGGATGTGGTCCAGTCAGCACAAATGCATGTTAATGCTTGAGTGTGGTTTGTGTCTGTGGAAACTAATGATCGATCCTTCATCTCCTCCTGAAGGCTGTATATCCAGATACTCGGCTGGAAGCGTCTATTTCTACCCTTCATACCACAAGCAGCACAGCCCGCCTCAGACGGAGCGTCTCCAGAAGGATCTGAAGAGATACCTGACGCGCAAGATCGGCTTCGAGGCCGTGATGAGGGTCCGCTGCACTAAAGGTGTGTGGAGAGGCGAGAGGCGTCCGAGAGAGTCCAGTCTGCTGCAGCACTGATGTTGTGTTCTGTCGTCTGCAGGTCTGTCCATACACACCTTCCACGGGAACTTCTTTGTGCGCTCCACCGATCTGCTGTCTCTGCCCAACGTGAACCCCGACGCAGGCTTCGCCGTGCAGATGAGCATCGAGGAGAACCTGCTGGACCTGCAGACTGTGTCCTTCCAGGCCGCGCTGCTCTACACCTCCAGCAAAGGTGCGAGCGCTCGACTGATCATGTGACGCTGACTGGTCATGTGACGCTGACTGATCTGCCTTATCCAAATACCCACACTTGTGGTCTTGGGGCAAGTTCAAGCTCAAACCGGTGCACAGCGTTTTGCTACGGTTTCCGGTTTGAACGACATGTTTCCTGGAAACGGTGTGCAATGGGTTTGAGATGCGTTTTCTCTTGTTTGGTGGGTGTGTCAAACATGTCAGCCCAATCAGCAGCAGCATGTATATAAACCACACGGTATTAAAGAGACAGCTCGCACAATTCTTCAAAAAGAACACAAAGAATGGCCTTCTCAGCTGCTATAGCTGCAACTCTTGCGTCATCAGAACAGTGTGTTCAACACACCACCGTTTCCGTTTAAAACACGTTTTGCACCGTTTTGTCGGGGCTGAACGCAGCCCATGTGACGCTGACTGTGATCTTGTTTGCTGTTGCAGGAGAGCGCAGGATCCGCGTGCACACGCTGTGTTTGCCGGTGGTCAACTCTCTGTCAGACATCTTCGCTGGAGCTGATGTTCAGGCCATCACTGCTCTTCTGGCCAGCATGGGTACAGCCTTCACCTCCAGACACCACACCATCTGATTATTAATCTGCGTATCACTATTGATAGACATGACGTGGAAAAAATGCAAAATATAACCTAAATATATAATTAACAGTCAAGAAACATGACTTGAATAGAATAGAGTAAATATAAAAAACTAGCAATAAATGTGAATCAAATGGAAAGTACAGTAGATTATGAAATACAATAAACTGTGAATAAAACAGAATAAATCAAATAAACTATTAATAACCATGGTGTCTATAAATGGAAAATATAATATAGAATAGAATAAATATGAAATATAATGTGAATAAAATAGAATAAATAAAAACTAGCAATAAATGTGAATAAAATAGATTTTTAAAATATGGAATAGAAAATATTCTAAAATATCATAAATATAATATAAAACAGAATAAAATAACAAAACAATAAATCTAATAAACTGTTAAGAAATATGATGTGAATAAAATAGAATAAATATGATGTGAATAAAATAGAATAAATATAAAAAACTGCAATAAATGTGAATAAAATGGAAAGTAGATTATGAAGTATAATAAACTGAATAAAACAGAATAAATCAAATAAACTATTAATAAACATGGTGTGTAAAAATGGAAAATAGAATATAATACATATAATAAAAAAACATGATGTGAATAAAATACAAAATAAAACCTCAATAAACATAATGCGAGTAAAATAGAATATAGAAGGGAGAAAAGAATAGAGCAAAGATTTTTCTGAAAAGATATTTAGAAGAATATAGAATGCATCACAGGTGAATATCAGGTACTGAATGAGGCTCATCCACTCTGAACTGTTTTATAATATATGTTATGTTGATCTGAGTGTTTCATAAGGTGAAGCAGTTGTTGTTCTGATATCAGACTCAAGCCTTGTACTGGCCTGTGTGTGTTTTGATGTGCTCTCGTTCAGCCGTGGATCGCTGTGTGACGGCGAGTCTGAGTGACGCTCGTGACGCTCTGATCAACGCTGCGATTGACTCGCTGGCATCCTTCCGCTCCTCAGTGCTGAGCATCCAGCAGCCCGGCCTGCTGGCCCCCGCCTGCCTGCGTCTGTTCCCGCTCTACATCCTGGCCCTGCTCAAACACGTACGTCAGCTGACCCCCCCAGCCGTCACACACGCCGTCACGCTCTCATAATGACGTGTTCACTTCCTCTGCTTTCAGAAAGCCTTCCGGACGAGCGGCAGCAGCCGGCTGGACGAGCGCGTGTTTGCCATGTGTCAGCTGAAGCAGCAGCCGCTGGTGTACCTCATGATGATGGTCCATCCGGGCCTGTACCGTGTGGATGAGCTGACAGATGAGGTCAGTCCGTCAGCAGATCTCGTTCAGTCAGCGCGTGTCTGAAGTGAACCCCGCTGAAGACCATCCAGAGTCATGTACATGTTCTTAATATCAGATGAAGTCCAGTATCTTTACAGCATATTAGATTGTGCTGGTTTTTCTCTTAGGACAGTATATTACTCAGCAAACACTTTCAAAGAAACAGAGTTAACCCTGAATTGGCCATCCCAGATCAGGATGGTTTCACTGAAGGAAGAGTTATTATGGATTATGGACTCATATTTTAGCTGGAAGCGACTGTTTCAAGACAGCTTTTCACTTCTCAAGACGTACGATGGCAAAGATCATGATCATAAGCTGATCTGACTGCTTTCATCTCACCTGTGTGAGGATCAGACGCGGGTTTGTGCAAACGTATGTGCCGATGCTTTAGTTTGAAACTGATGTGATATTTGTCTTCTTGCTGACAGGGGGCTCTGAACATCAGCGATCGCACGATTCCTCAGCCCAGAGCTCTTCAGCTGTCTGTGGAGAAGCTGAGCAAAGACGCGGCGTTCCTCATGGACTGTGGCACCGTGAGTTCATTTACATTTAACCATTCAGCAGACGCTTTTATCCAAAGAACAATAGAAGGCTTTCTTCGGCTCGTTGAAGACCACTCTCGCTGCTGCATTCTGGATCAGTTGCAGAGGCTTGATAGTACATGCTGGAAGGCCCGCCAAGAGAGCATTACAATAGTCCAGTCTGGAGAGAACAAGAGCTTGGACAAAGAGTTGTGTAACCTGCTCTGATAGGAAGGGTGTAATCTTTCTAATGTTGTATAAGGCAAATCTGCAGGACCGGGCCGGTGTAGCAGTAAGGTGTGAAGCTTAACTGATCATCCATCACAACTCCAAGGTTCCTGGCTGTCCTGGATGGAGTTATGGTTGACTAACCCAGCTGTATAGAGACTTTATGATGCAGTTCTGTAAGTTCTGTCTTCGCAAGGTTGAGTTGAAGGTGATGGTCCGTCATCCAGCCAGAATTGTGTCAGACAGGCTGCAATGCAAACAGCTACTGTCAGATCGTCTGGTTGGAATGAGAGGTAGTGGCTTGCTCTGACAGAGGGGGTGTAATCTTTCTAATGTTGTATAAGGCAAATCTGCAGGACCGGGCCGGTGTAGCAGTAAGGTGTGAAGCTTAACTGATCATCCATCACAACTCCAAGGTTCCTGGCTGTCCTGGATGGAGTTATGGTTGACTAACCCAGCTGTATAGAGACTTTATGATGCAGTTCTGTAAGTTCTGTCTTCGCAAGGTTGAGTTGAAGGTGATGGTCCGTCATCCAGCCAGAATTGTGTCAGACAGGCTGCAATGCAAACAGCTACTGTCAGATCGTCTGGTTGGAATGAGAGGTAGAGTTGAGTGTCATCAGCATAGCAGTGATAAGAAAAGCCATGCTTCTGGATGACAGATCCTAATGATGACATGTAGATGGAGAAGAGAAGCGGTCCAAGCACTGAGCCTTGAGGCACCCCAGTAGCAAGAAGTTGTGACTTAGAAACCTCACCCCTCCAAGACACCCTAAAGGACTTACCTGAGAGGTAAGACTTGATCCACTGCAGTGTGGTTCCTGAGATGCCCTTCTTCATGAGGGTGGACAGGAGGATCTGGTGGTTAACTGTGTCAAAAGCAGCAGACAGATCCAGCAAGATGGGTACTGAGGGTTTGGAAGCTGCTCTTGCCAGTCTCAGGGCTTCAGTAACCGAGAGCAGGACAGTCTCAGTTGAGTGGCCGCTTTTGAAGCCGGATTGGTTGCTGTCCAGGAGGTTGTTCTGTGTGAGAAACAGAGAGTTGGTTGAACACAACTCGCTCAAGTGTCTTTGCAATGAACGGAAGAAGGGATACCGGTCTGTAGTTTTGGGTTTAGAGTGGGTTTCTTAAGCAGTGGGGTAACAAGAGCATGCTTGAATGCTGTGGGAAATGTACTAGAGTGAAGAGAGGTGTTGATAAAGTGAGTGCAGGTATGACTGAAGAAGAAATGGCCTGAAGGAGGTGAGTGGGGATAGAATCAAGCGGACAGATAGAAGGATGATTGAAAAGGATAAGTTTGGAAACGTCTGCCTCCGAGAGTGGAGAGAAGGAGGAGAGAGAGTGTGTATTTGTTGTAGGGCTGGCTCGATACCACTTTTTCAGAACCGATCCCGATCCGATACCAAAAACTCTGAGTATCTACTGATATTGATCCGATACCAGTGCAGTTTTTTTTTAAAATCAGTGTAGAATTTCTATACCTCAATGTGTGTTGACCTGATCGTCACTCTTTTGTGTGTTACACACAATCTACTAAATACAGACAACTTCATTATAAATAAAAATAACAAACAAAAAAATTTTTGGGGGGGGGTCAGAGCAGTTGTTAATTTTGTTGTGGTAGTATGTGGTTTTAGCAGTGGAGACACTTGCAGAGAAGGAAGAGAGGAGTGACTGATACAAACTAACATCAGAGTTTTTTTAAAATTTGCACCACTTCCTCTCTGCAGAACTTGCACTTCATCTGTCTTTTGAGTGTTAATAAAAGTACGGCAGAATCCGGACCAGCTTATTTCCACACGAGAACAGAACTGCACACCAGACTCTGCTGTGAGCTGAAATATCTTACTGGCTCAGCTTCTGTGAATTAAATCAGGAAGCGGTTTTGAGCCTAGAAACTTGAACATTTAGGGATAATGTACACAGCACTTATTATGCAGCTTTTCAGCAACATAACAGTTTACATAGACATGAAATATTGATTGTTGTCTGCCCGCTTCTCCTCAGGTCATGTATCTGTGGGTCGGAAGAAACTGCAGCCCGGTTTTCCTCACAGAAGTGCTGGGAGTGGAGAGTCACGCTGCTGTTCCTCTCAACATGGTAAACTCACTCACAACTACTGCATTATTCACTTATCAGACAGCTCTTTACTAAACACTGCGGCTGTTCTGGTAACAACTTGATGTTTTTCGTGTGTGTATTTTTAATTGTTTTTGCATCTTTCTCTTTCATGAATGATTGCTGGATCGCATTAGAAATTATTTGTTTCTAGTTTTATTGGTGGTATTTCATGCAAATAAATGCGGTTTAATGTTGAGATTATATTTGTGGCAGATAAATATTGCTCTGATTGCAAAATGCAAGTCATTTTTATTGAAGATGTTGTTTGCCCCTCCGTAGCTTCAGTTCAGAGTTTATCTGAATGATTTTTCAGAAGCAGTATGTGCTGACTTGTATATCAACAGTGATATCTGTGACGGATGGATCAGAAGAGTATTTGATTGTCATGTGATTGGTTTCTCCTCTCAGAACCAGCTTCCAGAGCTGGACACGGCTCGATCTTCACGACTGCGAGCGTTCGTCGACTGGCTGAGAGAACGCCGGCCGTGCCACGCCGTCCTGCACGTCATCAGGTCAGAAACACGCTTCAGTTCAGAGATATGAGATATGTCCGACAGATGAATCCACATTCTCCATCAACTGTGCTGATTGATTCAGGAGCATTTTACCTTTTGAGGCCTTTTTTACTAGCCGTATAAAAACACATCCCTTTATGTCACTAAAATTCAGACTAATCAATTAGCTGAGATAAATTCTCAATCTGACCATTTATGGCTGTTCATCAAAACAACATCAAATGCAAAAATCTGTAAATAATGCTACGTGACATGTTATGATCAGTCAGAAAAATAATGTAAATAATTTGCTGACCGACACCATTTGAACATCTGAAAATCAGAAAAATGTTTTGGTCAAATTGAATAGCTTTAAACAAAATCACCAAATAATTTTGGATGATAATTCAGTAGATCAGTCGTTTGGAATACACAAATCAGACTTTCTTCATAAAAATGTGAGTGTATTTTAACTAATGGTCTGTTATTATTGATGGAAGTTAATTAATTTTATAGATGTCAGTATGCTGTCGTACTAAGTGAAGGCTGCTTATGAATATTGATTAGTACTTGACACACATGAGCTGCAAGGCAGATATGGGGGCGTGTTAGAACGAGCCGTTTTAGGTAGGCGTGGCTGACTCTGAACTTTTATAAAGAATATCTCTTTGGATTTGAGACTTTAGTCTTTGCAACTTTACAGATCTTCTTTATGCACCAAGAGCTTGTAACACTCCAAAGAGAAAGGAAAAAATGAAATCGCATCATATGACCCCTTTAAATATTTTTATTTTTTTATAATAAATAGAATAAAAAGTAGATAGAAAAGAAATAGAGAGAGCTAGTGTTAGAAGGTCACAAGTTATTATTTTTTATAATAAATAAAAAGAAAACAAGTAGATAGAATAGAGTGTCACATTCGTGCTGATATTCAGGAAAACCGCACTCTTGCTTGTGTGATATCACTAAAGTGAAGAATATTAAAAAAGCATGCAGGGTTATTTTTTTCCTTCGTAACTTGAATTATCGGTTCATTCTAAAAGACTTTCGGACTCAAGACGTGACTCACTCGATAACATCAGCTCGCACGTTATTAAAACAACAACTACAGTATTATCACAGACGAGCAACATCGCACCCCTATACCACCGTACATGTGTTTTTACCGGAAGGTTTTCAGAAAGCAGTTGTAATAGTGTAATCTGTGTGCATCAGTTGTGGATGACTGTATGAGCCGGAGCGTCAGTCATTCAGACAGCACTAACTCCTCACAGCAGCTCTGGATCATCAGTGAACGTTCCGTTCACTGATGATCCAGAGCTGCTGTGAGGAGTTAGTGCTGTCTGAATGACTGACGCTCCTCTGTTTGACTTCAGAGACGAGTCTCCGCTCAAGGCCGAGTTCATGCAGAACATGATCGAGGATCTGAGTGAATCCGCTCTCTCCTACTACGAGTTCCTCCTGCACCTGCAGCAGCAGATCTCCAAGTGATCCCACAATGCCCGGCTGGAGCCAGACGCAGACCTGCTGTCAGTAAAGCCCCGTCTGTGTCACACTACAGCTGTGTGTGAGGAGTGATGCTCCTTTCTAATGTGTCGCCTTTAACTAAAAAACGTAGGAAAATGGTTTCTTATGAATTTCTTACGAGCTTTGTAATTAGTGCTATTCAGAATTAGCGCTTTATAATTCGTGTGGTTTGTCACAGGTTTGTCTGTATTCTTCAGTCATTGTTTTAATTGATGAGGAAGGCAGTGCAGTTGAATTCGATATATCTGCCTTAAGTGGGACTCGGGCACAGAAGAAATGCTTTGTAAGTGTGTGCCGTTTAACACGGGCAAATTCAGACACGCGTGATCTTTACACGTTATAGAAATATGTGTATTGATGAATCTATATTATATTCAAGATTGTTAATTTTTGTAAAAACATTATTCAGATGATGCAAGATGGTAAAATCAACGGCTTGGGACTTTTTTTTTTCTTATGAAGAGAGATTTTTTTTTAGAATGGCTAAATCTGTGAAAGCTTTAGGTGAAGTGATCAGCTGCAGAGAAATTTGAGAAGCTGAGCTTGAAATATAATCCAAAATACAGAGATTTCTCTGCGGCCAATAGAGTTTAATGTTGAATGTCTGGTTGTGAGTAGAGTACTGACGAAGGTAAGAGTAACACAATAATCCGAGCTGTCTTGATTCTGTTCGCAGACGTTTCTTGGATAATCAGATCCACCGTTCAGAGGGATATTTTTTTATATTTGAAAAAATAAATAAAAACTCGTTTCCTCTGCAGTTGTTCAGCTCATTTTAGCCCACGTGACAACTGTGTTTTTGAGAAATGATTTGTAAATTCTCTGCAATTTTGTACATGTGAACTTTCTGAAGGAATGAAGTCATTAAAGAGGAAGTCTCGTGTGAGCTCTCCTGAATATCTCCACTGTTTCCGGTTCCTTTGGTATTTATGCTCATGTTCTCTCATTCAGTGCCCAGCGTCTGCTGAGCTAAACCTGAGGAGACCAGCATCATCAGCCTCGACCTGATGAAGAGTGTTAGTCCCTGTGTTTCAGGAGTTATTCCTGCTGCTCTCTATAGCGTCTGTTCAAACAGATGAGCAAATGGGTTTGGAATGCAACTTCCTAATAAATAAAAAATCATTTTTAAGTTTGTAATTTGATTTGTCAACACCTTTTTCCCATGCAACACAAACAAAAAGACTAATTTACTGTTTTACAAACATGAAAATGCAGGGCAATTCCTAACCCCAACCCTAAATTCAGATAGAATTTAGATTGGCTCATTACTGTAATAAATCTCAGTTTCAGAAGAAATGCCAGAACTCACGGTGTGAATGACGCGCCTGATGGCTCCTCCTCCTCTATAGATGAAGAGTGTTAGTCCCTGTGTTTCAGGAGTTATTCCTGCTGCTCTCTATAGCGTCTGTTCAAACAGATGAGCAAATGGGTTTGGAATGCAACTTCCTAATAAATAAAAAATCATTTTTAAGTTTGTAATTTGATTTGTCAACACCTTTTTCCCATGCAACACAAACAAAAAGACTAATTTACTGTTTTACAAACATGAAAATGCAGGGCAATTCCTAACCCCAACCCTAAATTCAGATAGAATTTAGATTGGCTCATTACTGTAATAAATCTCGGTTTCAGAAGAAATGCCAGAACTGTCACGGTGTGAATGACGCGCCTGATGGCTCCTCCTCCTCTATAGTGTAGCCCCGCCCCTGCGTGGAATCAACCCATTACAGGAATACAAATAGAATAAAAGTCCAATTAAAATGTAACTTTAGTACAGACGTGTATTTATGCACAATGTTTGTCTACAAAACTCATATCAAGACCTCTTAAAACTACATTCCGTGGCACAAAAACAGAATTATTTTTAAACTATAGTGGACATGACACTCGCTGTGAGAAACACTAAAGCGGAGTGATGCAAACAGTTCTGTTATCACGAGAATATCGCACTCCTCTCAGCCAATCAGATTCGAGAACCAGAAAAAACTGTTGTATAAATATATACCCTGCTGGAAAAAACAGCTAAAACCAGCCTAAGTAGGTTGGCTGGTTTTATCTGGTCGTCCAGCCTTGTCATAGCTGATCAGCAGGCTGGTTTTAGAGGGGTTTTGACCACTTCTTTACTGGTTAGGCTGGGAAACCAGCTACTTTCAGCTTACACCAGCTAAGACCAGCCAACCAACCAACCATATATATATATATATATATATTTTTTTTTTTTTTCTTTTTATTGCTTCAAAAAGATTAACAAAAGATTTTAACATATAAATACAACACAACCTATTCACATTATTACAATCATACAACTTACAGGAACAAAAAAAAATATATATATATATATATACACATACACACACACACACACACAGGACTTTTGCAAACGTCATGACGATGAGATTTGTTTATTTGAAGTATAACAAAAATATTACAAGTTTACAAAACAAATTGGCATACAACTTACATTCAAAGACATACATTTAAGAGGTGCTTAGACTTACACAGAATACAAAAAAAACAAAAACCCACTGTCATGACGATGAGCTCCGACTTTTATTTTGAAACGGCTTCGTCGTCCATAGGGGACACGTTCTGTGAGGCTCCGCCCCTTCAATAATAACAGACGTTCGCACGGAGACAGGAGGTGCTGACGGATGTTCTTCAGTAACCGCAGTAGCTTCAGTCATCTGAGTGATGCAGGCCGAGAGCAGCGAGGGGCTGCTGCAGAGACGCGCGGAGATCCGCAGGAGGAAGCTACTGCTGAACTCCGAGCAGCGCATGAAGAAGATCGTGGGCTTCAGCCAGAATGAGGCGGACAGACGTGAGTCACTGCACTGCGCTCATCAGAGTGGCTGGATTCATGCGGGGAAGTAGCCGATGTCTCTCTCTCTCTCTCTATCTGTGTGTGTGTGTGTGTGTGTGTGAGGTGATCGACAGCTACACGAGCAAACAGCCTCATATCACTCGTATCATGCGCAGAGGCTCCGAAAGTGACTCGAGCTCAAGCTGATGATCCGGAGAGTCACGTGATCAGCTACACCGATCACTTGCACTGGTTTAGTCGCATAGAGATCTGTATAGCAGTGTCATGTTTCTTATTGTACATTTTACAGTCTTTTAAACCGTTTAATTCAGGGTAAACATTACATTTAGCCCTAGACTTTTGGAGCCCAGCTCTATATATAATTCATAAGGAACTGTAATGTAAGGCTGGGAAACAAAAGTACAGTTACAGAATCACACTTCACAGACGGACAGGGTGTGTTATAAACATGAACATGTGCTGTAAATGTGCTCACCCTCAGATCATCTGAGATCAGGATGAGTTTGTTTCTTCTGTTTGCCTTCAAACCATTGCTTTCGGCTAAAATACGAGTGTATAATCCATAATAATGATTCCTCCAGTGAAGAAGTCCATCATCCCCTGATGTCCTCTCACATCAACATCCAGTTTTGGATGGTTTTGTCTTCTAAAGGGTGTTTAATCTGTGCATATGTCTCTCCTGATTCAGACCAGAACACTTTTTCACTGGAGGAACAGTTATTATGGATTATATGGACTTTTAGTTAAAAGCGTCTTAATGCTGGATTTGTTTCAGCTTTTGTCTTCTCCAGATGTTAACTGACTGACTGGAGTGCTGTGGATTATTGTGATGTTTTTATCAGCTGTTTGGACTCTCATTCTGACGGCACCCATTCACTGCAGAGCATCCATTGCTGAGACACTGATGCAATGCTACATTTCTACAAACCTGATGAAGAAACAAACTCATCTCGGATGAACACACTTTCAGCTCATGTTCATGTTTGGCTCGTTCGCTCACAGACTCTCGTGTGTGTTTCTCTGTGTCTGTGTCTGATAGCAGCTCGAGTCCTGGAGCCGCGGTTCCACCTGGATCTGGAGTGTAACGAGCCCTGGTCCTCCTCCTGCTCCTCTAACAGACTCTCGCCGCTGGTGTCCGATCCGTCCGAGAGCAGCGGTGAGGAGGACGTGTCTGGTGGTGTTCAGCAGAGGCTGGCGGGGTCTCCTCGCAGGGGTCTGCAGAAGTACGTGTCCCGCTTCGACGACGCCATGAAGCTGCGAGGACAGCTGTCCGCTGAGAAGACGGCTCAGGACGGTGGCGGTGTGGAGCTGGACTCGTTCTGTGTCTTCCGGCTCGTCTGCAGCGTCGCTCTGGCCGTCTTCGTGCGCATCTTCGTCTGCCAGTATCTGGTGAGTGCTGCGCAGACGCAGACGCAGGCATGGGATTCTGCTCCAGAGCTCATCTTAACTCCGTCTCTTGTGTTTCTGCAGTCCATCTTCGCACCGTTCCTCACTCTGGAGCTGGGCTTCATGGGATTGCACAAATACTTCCCCAAGGTTTGTCTCTGTTTTGACTCTGATAAAGTAAGTGAAACCGAAAAACACTTTCCACAGATTCCAGATGATAGTGAATATCGTGCAACACAGTATTTGTCGAGCATGTTTTTTCATGGTGAACTGATTGTGATCTGTATATGTGTATCTGGTGCATATTATTAATGCAGATTTGATTTTCGAAGCATCTTGTCTTTTGATAGCGTCACAGTTAACCAAGGGTTACACACATTTACAGTCTCCGAATTTAACACAAAATCAAGCACACTTCAGTATTCGGAGAGGTTTGCATTTTGTGATCGCAAAAATTAGGGCAAATTATGTGCAGCGGTTTGCATTTTATAATGACTTTTGGGTGAATATTTGCTCATTAGTTAAAACTAAAAGTTTTTATTACTTGAAATAAGGTAAGCATTAACTGAAATAAATTTAAATATTTAAAAAAAAAACTTTAACTTTATTTCGGCCAGTTGCCAAGGAAACATTTCTCATTTTCATTTAGCTTAACTTAAAGTACTTTAATAAAAATAACTAAAACTGAAAAAAATAAAAACTATATAATTACTAAAACTTTAACTACAATTAAAATGGAAAATATAAAAACTAATTCAAACTTAATATTAATAAAAACTATAACATTATCTCAATGATACTGCATTATAAAGCCTGATTTTACCTGTAAATTAGATTTAAATAAATGCATGATCTGTATATGCATTTGTTTTTAAATGAGTTGATTACGTCACTGATAAAGCCATTTTAAATTGCGAAACAAAATGCCAAAACAATATTATAACAGTACAATGATAGAACTAAAACATGAGATAATTTAAAAGATTTAAAATGAACAGTCTACAGTATAATCAGTGACAATGTGCAAGATATTGTGTTCAGCAGAGCAGAATTATGAGCATTTCTATGCTGCTTTGTGCATTAGAGACCAGGATCAACATTTCAGAAATGATGCACTAATTACATGAGAACATGAGGATTCTTGGTGGATTTCCTGCGGATTCAATCTCTTTGTGTTGTGAAGATCAGATCAGAAGTCGTGAGGGATCCTGATTAACTGGACTGATTAAGAGCAGCGTTTAATCGCGTCCAGGGCAGTGCTTCTGTGTTTCTGTGTCTTCAGCTCTTGTGTCAGTGAGCTTCTGTGTTTCTGTGTCTTCAGCTCTTGTGTCAGTGAGCTTCTGTGTTTCTGTGTCTTCAGCTCTTGTGTCAGTGAGCTTCTGTGTTTCTGTGTCTTCAGCTCTTGTGTCAGTGAGCTTCTGTGTTTCTGTGTCTTCAGCTCTTGTGTCAGTGAGCTTCTGTGTTTCTGTGTCTTCAGCTCTTGTGTCAGTGAGCTTCTGTGTTTCTGTGTCTTCAGCTCTTGTGTCAGTGAGCTTCTGTGTTTCTGTGTCTTCAGCTCTTCAGCTCTTGTGTCAGTGAGCTTCTGTGTCTTCAGCTCTTGTGTCAGTGAGCTTCTGTGTTTCTGTGTGTTCAGGTGGAGAAGAAGAGCCAGAGCACGATGCTGACGGCTGCGCTCCTGCTGTCGGGGATCCCTGCTGAGCTCATCAGCCGCTCCATGGACACC